TCTTTTAATCCCCTTTCTCCTGCTCTTCTGGCCTGCTTCTTTGGGCGTCCCTGAGTTTCCCCTCCTCACATAATCCCTTCGGCTGATTGCTCTTCTCGTTGGCTTCCTGGGTTTTACCCCTTTCTCCTGTTCTTCCGGCCTGCTACTTTGTGCTACGCCCATGCTTACCTTGATCATGGAGACCTGGTCCCTCTCGGGAGGGTAACAAGGGAAAGTGTTCAGTGCAGATCAGTGAGTAAGCACCAGCCCATCCGTGCCCACCTTGCTCCTGGATACCGGTAAAGTTTTATAGGTTTTAAAATAAGAAATGAAGGAAAAATCATAGGCAAGGATATATGAATATTCTCCCCTTGATGCTAGCAAATGGACATATAAAGTTTATTTCAATTATTGCGAATTTATTTCTTAAAGATAATGAACCTTTTAATAATAAATAAGAAGTTTTTGAAAATTTTGTATATATTATATACTAATTGCTATCAACTTCATTCCAATTCATGGCAGCCCCATGTGTTAAAGTAAATTCTTTTTCTCTATAAGGGTTTCAGTGGCTGATTTTTCAGGAGATTGTTGAGGCTTTCTTCTCAATTGCCTCTTGGTGGTCTTGAACCTCCAACCTTTTGGTTAGCAGCTGAGTACCTTAAGCATTTTCACCTTCCAGAGACCCTTTAGTATATTTTGCTGCTATTGTGTGTGGTCAAGGCAATGCCGACTCATAGTGAACCCACAGGACAGAGGAGAATGGCCCCATGGAGTTTCTGAGGCTGTAATCTTTATGGAAGCAGCCTGACCTCAGTGGAGCTGGTGGGTTTGAACCACTGACCTTTCACTCAGCAACCCAACATTTAACACTGTGCCACCAGAGCACAGACATTGCAAACTATACCTACAATGGCAATTATTGTAAATACCTATTTTTTACAATAGGAAAACTGTAAACAAGACAAGAAACTACCCAATTTCACACAGGTAGAACATAGTAGAGGCAGCCTTTGAACTCATAATTTTATTGTATCAGAGTCTGAGCACTTTAAATTCTGTATTATGTTGGTATCTTGAATGTCACTACTTTCCTGTTGATATGATTATGATTTTATTTTTCTTTCTTCAAAAATGAGTTTCTTAGACAGTTAGAATCAATGCATTTTGAGGTAGAGGATTTAAGCTCAAGACCAGCAATGCTAGCAAATGCAAATCTGCATTTTTTTCTGCAGCTCTGCATATGTGTTAATTCAGGTTCTAGTTTACATGTTATGCCTCACTCTGTGTTATTTTTCTAGGTTTTCTAGTATTTAAGATACCCATATATTACCTGGCATATTATAATCGCAAGTAAAACAAAGTTTTGCTTTTGTTTTTATTTTCATGGTTATAACATCAAATTTTTTTAAGTCCTTGTGCAAATTAAATGTCATTTTAAAATTCCTTTATTTTAGCAATTATTTTGGAACTTTAATAGTACAATAATCTCCCCCTTGTTGTTTTAAGCCCTGTGTGGAGGCTACATCCATGGAAAGAGTGGAACAGTCCTTTCTCCTGGGTTTCCAGATTTTTATCCAAACTCTCTAAACTGTACATGGACCATTGAGGTGTCTCACGGAAAGGGTAAGAATATGATATGCATTTCAAATATACTAATTAATAAACAGGGTAAAAGCATGGAAGCATAAAAATAATATTAAACTGCAAAAAGTGAGATAATTAATTTATTTATAAATATATTTAATTCAGCAGTTAATTTTTATTCTTTTTTAACATTTGACAAGAAAAATTATCTAAATCTGCAAAAAGCAGATTTCTTGTTTTGCTATGCAATTATCATGTAACTCAAATGTCTGCATATAAGCTTGAAAATTAGGTATAATATTTAGGAATATAAGCATAAACTAAAAGAAATAAGTATTATCAAATAAAAATAAAATAAATAAATAGGCTACACGTCTGATTTCTACAGAAATCCTGGATAATTTTTTAAAATTTACCTTGTGTTCCATTTACCCATTTGTTACCACATTTAACCAATGTTATCACAGATAATATATCATTTACCTTCATATATCCCACAGATATTTTATAGAGTGGATATTATTATCTTCATGTTACGTGAGAGTATACTGAAGTGTAAAGAAGTTTTCATTTTTGAAGGAAATATAGCTTGTAAGCTTTGCATTTAACACTGTACCTTGGGTTTTCTATCATTAATTTTGCAATTTTTATGAAGTCAGTTTTGTATTTTTATCATGCAAGTATTATATTTGTCTTTCCAAATAATTCTGAACTCAGCTGGAGATTTAATTGACATATTTCATTCTGTGCACTGTGTTACACTATGCTAGCAAGAATACATAGTAAACAGCTGAGTTCTGAAGGAAATTAAGAATAAAATTGAAACAGCATGTTGCTGACTCATACTTTTTAAACATAAAAATGTAAATATTAAATAGTATCTATTCACAGTGAATTGTATTCATCTATAATATAGGAATTCAGACATAATACTTTGTGGTGTAGACAAAAACAAACCTTGATTTCAAGGAAGTTTTACCTCAGTTAATTTGCTAAACCTCCAAGACAATATTTTTGAATGGACATGTTTTTAGCATAAGTGGGAAAGTTATCTGGCCCATAATCTCCATGGGACAAACATACTAAGTGCATAGGAACTATTCATTAATACTGTTCATTTAAATATTCCATTTTGTTGTAGAATTTATATGGACTTAACTGTTTATTTATTTTTGTCATTTCCCCCTCTGCCTTCTTTCTTTTCTAAAACCACCTTCTTTCTACCCATTCTATTTCCCTCTCAAACTTAAAAGTTTACTTTATATTTTCAGTTAATGCACTAACACGATATTTTGATGTCTATAACCCAGAAAAAAAATGTTTTTCAGCCCCTATTACCTATTATTTAAAATAGTGAGACCAAAGATAGTGTGAAAGAAATATAAACTTTCAAGAGATAGTGTTGGCATTGTTTTTCTATGCTGGCTGTGGTAATGGTGGAAAGGAGAGAGAGAAAGAGAGAGAGAGGGAAGGTTTGCTATTTGTTTGCAATATAGTTTCACCCGGATGGTTGGCATGTAGCTAAAAATTATACCTAGACCACACACAAAGAGTGATTAAGGAATAGTAATAGAAGAGGCTAAACCTTGGTTTAAATATACTCTATAAGGTTATGGGATTAACTAATAATGAACCAGTTGAATTTATATTATTTCATCAAGATTAATCCAGTTTGATGTGTGTCTGGCATAAACATTTACATAGATTTTTCTAGTGTATTTTTAAAGTATGTTAATTCAGTAGAATAACTCAAGTAGATTACTCATTATCTTCCTGAGGTTATAATAGAGGGGAACTGAAAAAGAATGTAAAAATTCCTTAAAAGTCTTTAATTCTTCTCTCTCTTTCTCCTTTTTTCTCTCAGGAGTTCAGATGATCTTCCACACCTTTCACCTTGAGAGTTCCCATGACTATTTGCTGATCACAGAGGATGGAAGTTTTACAGAGCCTGTTGCCAGACTCACTGGCTCTGTATTGCCCCATACTATAAAGGCAGGTTTGTTTGGAAACTTCACTGCCCAGCTTCGGTTTATATCAGACTTTTCAATTTCCTATGAGGGCTTCAATATCACATTTTCAGGTACGTTGACCTCTTGTACTATTTCTCTCCTCCAGCAACAATAGTGCCATTACAGAGTGTTCATTTGTTTACATATAAAATGACAACTAATGTTATATATAGTTGCAAAAAGGAAATTATTAGCTGATATATGCTAGAAAATAAGTCTTATTTGCTTAGGAATACACAAATAATATTTACTATTTGTGTAGATATCTTTATTTCATTTTAAGAGCTCTATGATGTATACCTACTAGCTGTTCCATGGGAGAAAGATGAGGCAGGCAGCTTCTATAAAGATTTACAGTCTTGGAAACCCTTTGGGGCAGTTCTCTTTCCTATAGGATCGTTATAGTCAGAATTGACTCAATGGCAGTGGGTTTGTTGTTTTCTGGTTTTTGATACACATATGGAGCTCTGGTGGCCTATTGGATAAGAGTACCTATTAATATTTCAATTTCACAATTGAAAAAACTATTACATACATTTAAAAATGTCACACATGTATGAGGTGTATTTAATAAAGTTCACAAATAAACTACTCTCTTAATCTGTATGATTGCCAGTGACATTAATACAATGTAGTTTACTTTGTAATCATCCAAATAAATAGCAATTTTATTATGCAAATGTGGTGTTTACGCTTCTGGGAACTTTGTTGGTACTTTTATAATATGGTATTAATATGCCTATATATCTTTCTGTTAGCCAAGCTTATTTCTATCTTTCTTTAGAAAGTTTTAATAAAGCAGAATTTCCAAACTGTGTTTCTTAGTTAATATTCCTACAGAGGTAAATGGTGATATCGTCAAGTGACTAACAAATAAATAAATAAAGTTCCATATTCAAATATAATCCGATAAAGCCTCAAACATTCTTTGTTCGATATTTGATTTTACTTAGTTGGGCAATCCTACTTCCGTAGTGATACTGCCTCGGAAACCCAAGGAGGGGTCGCTATGAGTCGGGCCGACTCGAGGGCAATCAACAACAACAACAAAGGAGTCCCTGGGTGCACAAACAATTAAGTACTTGGCTACTGGCCAAAAGGAACGTTATTGTTTCAAACCAGGGTTTTGAACAGGTTCCAAATTGTTCATTCATGGCCAATGTAGCATATGTGTTCATAGCTATAAAATCTTGTGTGGGATTTTGACCTGAGCAGGAAGCAGGCAGCAGCACCTCGATCAAATATGGCAGCCGGGACACATTCAAAGTGGTGTAATCAGCTGGCATCTTAAAGCAGGGCCTCTCTGCCTGGTTTCTACTAGGTTTAAAATCCCATGCCCAAAAGATTTGGTTGCTATGCAACATGCACAGTGCTTGGCCATGAATGGACTGTTTCAAAATCATTTGAAACTCTGGCCCAGACCCACCCAGAAGTTCCTCAAAAGTCAGACCTGGTTATCTGCTCACAAGATCACAGATTTGAACTATTATGGAGCTGTTCTACTCTGTCATATGAGGTTGAAATAATTTTAATTGACTCAATGGCAGCTACCAGTAATTAGAACAGTAAGCACAAACTGTATACACTTGATACTCCAGATTTCTTTCATCAACTCCTACTGTGATTCTATTCCTTGAAGGCAAATTTGCTGTGCATTAACATAAATTACTGGTCGTTCTTTTCAAAAGATGAGAACTTGGACAATTTTGTGCTTTTAAATTTGCAATTTTTTCTTCCTTCAAAGGCCTTTCTTCTTCCTTCACAAGACCAAATTTCTTTTATCCTGGCCAAATTTTGTCAGTTTCATAAAGCTTTCCCTCTCTTTTCTAAGCAGGACTTTTTTCTCCTCTATTCCTGTAACACTATTCATATACCAAAATTATGTGATTTCCAACCTTATTTTGCATTTCTGTCTCATTGACTGCATGCTCAATCTCAAAGGAAGGTATTCTGCACTGGGGAGAGTATATAGCATCCTCATAATTTTATTTATTTATTTATTTATTTATTTATTTTTCATACAATGAATATTTACTGAGTACTTACAATATTCTAGACATTCTCTTAGGTTCTGAAATATAGCAGTGACTAAAATATGTACATTTCTTCATAGAGACTATATTTCACTAGGGGAAATTATAGTTGAATGTTCTTTGAAAGTTTAAAACTGGTCAGAGTGATAAAGAGAAATGTCACTTATAAGGGAATTGTCAAGTAATACCTCTCTGAGAGTTGACTATTGATTGCAGAGAAGTGAAAGCTCAACTTAACATATATGTAGGGGTATGGAGGTTTTCAACAGAAGGAGGAGCAGAAGTGGGTATGTGTCTGAAAAGTTTAAGGGTTTAAGGGTAAATTATGACAATGTGGTTGGAGCCTTGTAATTGAGGGGGAAGATAAGATAGGAAGTTTGAGAGAGGTGGAAGTCCCATTGTGTACTGCTTTATAGGCCATGTAAGGAACTGGGATGTTAATTGTTAGTGCAATGGGAAGCCATTGGAGGGATTCAAACAGAGGTTTACACAATCTGACTTTCCCCAATGCTCATTTTAGATAATTTATAACTTTAAAACAAGGGAAATCTAATAAGCTATTATACAGTAATCTAGGAAAGAGATGACAGTGGCTTAAACTTTAGGGACAGTCCTGGATTGGCTTCTACCATATTGGTTGGAATGGGATGTGTAGTATGAGATGCAGAGAGAGATCAAGGATAATGGGTAGGCTCTTGATGTAAGTGAATGAGGGTACATTTTTTTTTTTTACATTTTTATAACTAGAAGTAAAATAAGTTTGGAAGGAAAAACATATTTTTGTTTTGAAAATTGTAGGCATGTAATGCCTATTCTGTATCAAAGAGAGGTTGTAAGAAGTTTTGTGTTCAGAAAAATTGGTCAAATTAGAGAAAAAAGAAGTGTCATCAGTATATACAAGGGATTTATAGACACAGGACTGTATAAACTAGGAACTGGACATAGATAAAATGAGAAAAGGTCCTAGGCTTTAACTCCCGGCACAGTGTTTTGGTGTTGAGAAGAGGAGGAGTGTCTAGCTCAGCTAAAAGAGAAGTTATAACCAAAGAGTTAGGAAAATGTTATCCTGGAATACAAGAAAGAAAAATCTTTCAGAAAGGTATCAAAATCTACTTAGAGCCTGAGGGATGGAATAGAAGTCATTGGATTGTGACATCTTTATTGTTTTTTCCTAGAGAGTCTATCAGTATGTTTTGTGTATGATGCATTTTCAATAAATATTTGTTGAATTGTTTATACACACACACACACACACACGTGTGTGTGTGTGTATGTATATATATACTTCCTTCATATGCTAAATTTAAAATAAAAAAACTCACTGCCATCAGTTGATTCTAACTTTTAGTGACTTCCATTTTTGTTTCCAAAATCTTTATGGAAGTAGATTGCCCTACCTTCCTTCTTCATAGTGGCTGGCGGGTTTGATCTGCCAACCTTCTGGTTAGCAGTCAAATGCCTTAGGCACCACACCACCAGACCTCCATACTAGATATAGGTTAAGATAATGAGTACCTTTTAGGAGTGGTCAAAATAGTTAAATATCTTAGAGATTAGGAGTAGATTTTTTACCTAAATGAAGACTACAACAAAGATAATGCAGAAGATAAACAATGCAGAGGTCAACTATTAAGTTGAGGGAGATGGGGGAAGAATTTTGGCAAGGTATGGGGCTATGACATAGCTGCGGGTATCAGATAGCAGTGATTAAGGTAGTGCATAATGGAAATAGAAGAGAAGGATTAGATTTGAAGACTTTTGAGGCAGAAAAGTATGGTTAGATTTAACATATTCATTGAAAATACTCAGTCCAAAATACATAATTAGGAGAATTTAAAGAATAACAGTTGGAAGTCAGAAAGTATCACACACACTCACTCACTGCCCTCCAGTTATATCCAACTCATAGGGACCCCTCCTTGGGTTTCTGAGGGGGTATAACTACGGAAGTAGATTGCCCAACCTTCCTTCCTCCAAGTGGCTGGTGGGTTTGAAATGCCAGCCTTTTGGTTAGCAGTCAAATGCCTTAAGCACTATGCCACCAGAGCTCCCTCAGACAGTATAGGCAACAATATTTTTTAGCCAAATTGGCAAAGTTTATTATGAGGTTTTTCCTCTCACCACAATGTGGAATACTGTTTTTTGTGTTCTCCACTTATTGCAATAATGCTTATCCTTCCATATTTTTCAACTCTCCTTTCTAAAGCTCTCCTCATCATTCCAACCTTCAGTGATGTTTTCCTAATCATGTGCCTTATCATTTAATCTTATTATTAAATACTGCACATTACAGACTGAAAACACAGCAAGAAGGAGGCAACTAAACTAACAGGCACAACTCACACTGTTAGTTCTTCACTGACAAAAACATGAATTTAATAATGGGTCGAGAGGGAATAACAATCAGATTGACATTTTACTTATATTGAGTTGAATGAATTGACTATGGAGGATAAAGCAAATACAACATATAATCATTAGCACTGGTATTTTGAATATTGAATCCCAAAACACAGCAAAATTTATGCATTATACATTTTTTAATTAGCTTTAACATTTTCTTCCTGAGATTTCTAATAAAGATTTTCTTTTTTTCCCCCTATATCACTGCTATAGACCATGTCTTATAGATTGAAAACAGCCAGGTGAAAATGTGTGGTTCCATACTGAGATATAATTGAGAGGTGAAATTGGCCATGATCAACTTTCCACAGCGTAAATCTTTGACAGTGCTTTGATATTGTGCTCCATATATTAGTTATCAGAAAAGCACCATTGAGAAGAGTACAAAAACTGACTTTAGCAATTAGAAATATAAATAGAATAATTTCATACACTCAAAGTGACATGTTTGAAATGGAAAATATTATTTTCATCTCTTACATTCTAATTTGTCTCTTTTGAAAACACTATAATTTCATGGTATATATCATAAGAGAAATCATGTAACAAATAAAAAGAATCTGCCTAACAGTTACAGCAGAGTTTGAGGAAAAATGTATATTGTTTCCTTTTGTAATTTACTTTTTAGTAATAAACTTTTCTTTTGTTATTGTTCTTGCTAAATAATTGTTGAATATTCCCATGAATTTTCTGTCTCTTCATGTCTCAGAATATGACTTAGAGCCATGTGATGATCCTGGTGTCCCTGCCTTCAGTCGAAGAATTGGTTTTCATTTTGGAGTTGGAGACTCTCTGACTTTTTCCTGCTTCCCAGGATATCGCCTAGAAGGTGCAACCAAGCTTACCTGCCTGGGTGGGGGCCGTCATGTGTGGAGTGCACCTCTGCCAAGGTGTGTGGGTAGGTGGTCACATGCTTTCATTTCATTCATCCAATTGGGGAGAGGACAGGGCACACATCAGAAAGAAGTGTGGAAGCCTTGAAAAGAAGTAGAGTAAGAGTCAGGGAAGCTGGACTCAGGCCCAATTCTGCTAAACCAGTTGGGAAAATTCCTTAACCAGTTTAGGTATCTATAAAAATATTCCTTTCAGCTCTAAAATTTGATGATTGAAGAAAAGTGAAACTTAAGCATGTGTCAAGAATATTTATGAAGGACAATCATAAATACATATGAAGGACAATCATATAGTGGAATCACTAGGGGAGTGTAGAGGGTGCGGACCACACTGAGTAACACTCTGAGACGAGTGACATCAAAATGATGAAAAATAAAATTTTGTGCAGTATTGCAGCAAAAATGTACTATATTTTTTTGTAATTAAAATAATTTGGAATAAAAGAGTAAAACACCTACAAGACAGGCCATAATAGCACAACTAGTGACAATTTAGCTGACTAAAAGCAGTAAGATACTCCTAGTACATTGATAATGATAATTTATTTACTTATTTATTTTTAATATTTAATTCTTTGATTGAATGATTATTCCTGCAAAATGGACACTATAGAAATTTGAATGTAAATTTTTTTCAGTGTTCTTGATGAACTTAAGAGGTCATTCTAATGAATAATGTTATTAGGTTCCATTGCTTTAGCTCTGACTCAGAGCGACACTATGCAAAATGGAATGAAACACTGCCCGGTCCTGAGCCATCCTCACAATCCTTGCTCTCTTGAGACCATTGTTGCACTCTGTCAATCCATCTCATAGAGATTTTTATTTAAGTACTTTGTAATGAAGTACTGTGCTAACATGCAGGTGTTAGGGGGCTGATTCAATAGGCTATAACTTTTTATCTATTGGGGAATCTGTGCTATTACAGGGTGTTTAGCAGAGCCAAAGGAAAATTGTAGTAGTTACCATAGTTTGAACAAAATATTTTGCTAGACATACGCAGAGGGTCTGGTCATTTATTCCAGACTCAATGTCCAGTCTCTGACATACAGCCATATTCATCCGTGTTTGATGGCTGTTGCTATCTGTTCTTTAAATTTACAGAAATTGTTATAATATCTTAGAAAAGAAAGGAATGAGGATTAGAGATTAACCCTTAGTTTTAAAACTTTTCAGCCCATGAGGAGTCTATAAATACTTTTCACACTAATCTTGCCATATGACAAAGTAGAAAGGGATGGGAAAGTCTGAAAATCAGATTACATATATAGAATAGTAAAATATTAATTTAGTGTAACCAGATTATCCATATAGCACATATTCTCTAATTTTCAGCATTATTTAGGATTATTATATGATTGAAAAGATAATAATGTCTTTGTGTCTTGTAGTGAGTCACGCGTATTTAGGACTTTATTCTATTTTTTAAAACAATAATATGATTAAATTATCATAGTCCCTTGCCAAGACATATGACTGTATGTTCATTTTAGTCATGAATATTTTTGAGAATTGGATGCAAATGTTGAATACTCTCTTAAGGAAGTAATAATAATAATAATAATAAAAAACTGCAATATTTTGTAGATAATTTTAAAAGCTCTTAGAAGTTGCCTAGAATTTTCTGAGTTTAAAACTCCTGACCTAGTTTAAGATTTGGAAAAAATTCAATGAAATCAAAATATCATTCTAGCTCAGTGGAATCACTAGGGGAGTGTAGGTGGTGAGGACACACTGAGTAACACTGTCAGAGGAGTGACATCAAAAGATGAAGAATAAAATTTTATGCAGTATTGCAGCAAAAATTTACTATATTTTTATTGTAAATACATCCCTGTAGTTAATTAAAACAGCAAAAACATTTTTTTGTAAACTCAGTTTACATGTATCAATACCTTTAAGGATAAAACCCTATGGAAATTTACTTTTTGAACCTTTTAATACACTGCAGTCAAAGCTGTCACTATCCAATTACAATGATGCTTCAAATCACATTGTTCCACCTGTATGTACTACAGGCACACACTGTTGTTTTTGCTGCTCCCAGTGTTTTTATAGTCACTTATTTTGTCAAATTTCTGAGTGTTTTAGCTACAATATCATGAAAATTAGTATTTATGAATCTATATCAACAACTTTTTTTGAGAACAAAGTAGGAATAAAAGGAGAAAAATTAAAAAAAGTTTCTGCTCAATTATTTATAATCAGGTAATTCAATGTAGAAATATTTTATAAAACAATTTTGTTGTTAGTACTTATATAGTCTGAAAATAAGGCATTTAAGCAATGTACAACTATATTTACCACAAACTGTCCTATGATTAAAATTGATAATATACATTAGTAAGGATTCTGTAGGGAGCTCTGGTAGCATAGTGGCTAAGACACTTGCCTGCTAACCAGACGGCTGGC